GGCATTCCTTTTTAGTCCCTGGGTTCTGTATCAACTCAAGGCCACAGTGGTGACATCTCATTTCTCTCCAGGGGATCTCCAAGGGTTTTGGCAACGGAGCCATACTTTGCTTCCAATTTTTCATGTGGGTTTGCAGGACAGTGACCCCCCCAGACCAATGGCAGTAGCAGAAACAACACTGAATTTGTGGGGTCTTGGTCCCGCACTTTGGTTAGCAACTTATGCAGCCTTCACACTGTGTCTTGACAGGTCTTAAGATCTGCATTTCCCCATTAAACAGCATCTAAAGTTCCTCTTCCAGTTGTTTAGGGCAGAGAGTGCAGAGGGACTTGGCTATAAGGTTATACATATTTATAGGAGCACACTGGGAGCCAGTGGTACCACATCCAGTGCAAACAAAGGATGCACTGGCAGAAGCTCAGCCCAATCCCACCTGGGGAGCTGATCCCAGGCCCTGTTGTAATGCAGGAGTGAGCAGGGAGCAGCCCGGCCTTTCGTTCACTGTCCTATTTTGTTCTACTTTGATTTTCCTTTCACATCCGATTTTAGCATAAACTCATTATTAAACAGTCCCAACATCCTGCTCTGACAGCTTTGGGATCTTGGCATTGGTGTATCCATCACTGTCTAAGAGCCTGGAAAGCCTGCTCTCTGGATGGCTCACACTGAAGGCTTTAAAGTTTTGAGCAATTTGAGGGGGTGTTTGTCGTGGTTGTTGCAGTTCAGTTTGCTCCTTCATTCAGAAATGTTCCATTCTTTGTCCAAGAGCTCAGTTTCTTGGAATTGCCTCTGACTATGATGCTATCTTCAAATGGCTGGGTTTGCTACTGCTGCTCTCATTTCTTTGCATGAAAGAAATGCACACAAGCAGCATGAGGGAGACCTGCTCTGTATTTTCCCCCAGAAGACAAAAACCACAGATCCCTCCCACGAAGCATCCATTCTTCCACCTACTCCAGGAGACTATCACTCTGCCAGCATCTTGGTTTTCTCTGGGAAGGCACAGAGTTTTTGTAGAGTTACACAACAATGAAAAGGACACGATATCAAATAGAGGCAGCTCTGACAGGTGTCTGCAAGCACTTGAGAAAGTGCCAGAAGGCAAATAGAGCTTTTTCCTTTAATTTCCAGATCAAAATTCAAGACAAGCTTTAAGTGGAACCTTTTATGCAGCCTGAAAGTGAGAATTCCTCTACAGAAAGACATCGAGGATTGAGCAATACAAGGATTCATAAAATCCCTGAGGTCTCCATAACTATTCCATGTCTCTGTTTAGCACTAATGTAGCTTTCAGGAAGCAGCCAGGCTTATCAGGCAAAGGGAGACAAAGTGTCCAGGAGTCCAAGCAGGGCTTATGTGCCCCCACACAGTGGTATCCAGCTGAGATCCCTGTAAACAGCCCGAGTTTGAGACACTGGGCTGTTCCCCTTCAAACCTGAACTGCCTTAGGACATGCCCAGCCAGGGACTGGTTAACCCCAGCACAGCTGTACCCAGGTACAGGCAGCCCCAGGAGGGCTACAAGGACAGACTAACCCTCTCCTGCCTCCTGCTCCTGCTGCTTCTCCTGTCAAGCAGCCTCACATCCACAGGGCTGTGCCCAGGACCCTTGAGGCCCCAAAAATCCAGAGGTTGAGAGATTTGCCCTTGGCCATAGGAGCAGGTGACTCAGCCAGTCACATCTTAGGGTATGTTCATTCAGACTATGAACAATTTATTTCAAAGCACTGAGCAAGCCCAATGTACTGACACTGGCAAATGAAGTTCCCCCAAAATGATAAGGGCTTCCCAGAAAAAAATTTATGTAGCTTTTGGTGTAAATTTAATCCATGAAGATGAGGCAGGCAGCAGGACAGTAAGGCAGTCTGTTTAAAGTTCAAAATAAGAGATGTCTTTTTAAAGTGTTTTTAAAATAAAAAATAGAAGATTCATCATTTCTTTGGTTTAACTTCCTCCACAGTTAGTCAGAAATCATCAGGAAATGGCACCTAAGGAAATCCGTCCTGTTCTGCCTGGTCAGCACAAAGAAGGTGCTCGTGCAGAGGACAGTGGCAGGGGTGGGGGAGGCTCTGCCTCTTCCCAGGCAAAGCTGAGCAACACACCAGAGACTGCTCAAGAGTGAACTTACATGACATATAAAGACAAAATGGCAGGGAGAAAAAATAAAGATGGATTTCCACAATCAGCTCACCCAGAATCTGACTTTTGCTCTAAATTAAAATTCGGAATAACCAGAAATGTCAGTAATTCTTTCTTCCCTGTTTATATATAGGGGGAGGCAAAAAATAACAAAAACAAAACAAAACAAAAAATAAACAAATCACATACTTTACCATCCATACACCTCTTCAGACTTTTCTCTAAACAGCTCTGGCTTTTAAATGATACCCAAGGCTCAACAAATAGATTCTTTTCTACTGCAGGCCTGCCTATCTCTCTGTGCTCGTCTTACCAGTGACCACACCATTAATCTTTCTGCAATCCACAGCTGGATTGGACTGGCTCAAAAAATGCTTGAATGTATTTTTTTATCTCCAGCCTCCGTGGATCAAGCTGGGAGGAAAGGATGTTTTGGTGTTACTCCATCAGTTTTGGTTACCTGTACATTTGTGGCTGCAAAAACAGAGATGTGTAAGTGAAAACGCCGTCCTTTTCCATTGGCAATGTAACGTTGATCCTCCTAAAGAGCTCTTGCTAACTGCTGACCACAGTTCACTGGAAAAAACAGGGGGAGGAGCACATAAAGTGGCTGGTCTGTACTGGGAGGAGGTGAGAAAGAGGAAACAGATATGCAGGAGCTGGGGGAGAAGACCAGCTGTATCCATGACGTTTATTTCCATCCTGCAGATGAGACACTGCATAGAAAAGTTTGAGTAGGTAGAAAACCTCAAATCTCATTTCTACAGGCTAATACAAAGTCTGTATCTTTTCTAGAAAGAGATCATAGAATCACAGAATAATCTAAGTGGGAAGGGACCTACAAGGATCATTTAGTCAAACTCCTGTCCCTGCACAGGACCATCCCCAATAGTCACACCATGTGCCTGAGAGCATTGTCCATGTTTCTGTTTAGAACTGTACCTGCACTACATTATTCTATATCAGTGATTTTGCTCTTCCACCACTCTAGCTCTCTCATTTGTGCTTCCCCTGAGGAGACAGACTCACCCTCATGGCCTCTTTGGTGTCACAGAGAGCAGAGTCTGACTCGGGCTGGCAGGTCCCCAGGCTGCTCCAAAAGAGATACAGAAAATACTCTCTACAGACTGAAAATCAGGTGTGTCCCAGCCTGTATCCAAAGTGTACACTCAGAAAGGAAAAACAGTTCTGAAATGCATCTTGCATTTATCTGGATTACTTTTGCTATGGCTGCCTATGATCTGCTTCCCAGGGAAGCAGCAGGTTCAAGGAGCTCTGTGGCATAAGGAAACTCCCAAGATCCTTCTGCCAGGAAAAGGCTGAGCATGGACCCCATGCCTGGCTGTGGGAACAGCTCTGTGCCCACCAGCCTCCGGCATGGGGAATTGGCTTTGCTCTGTGTAGAAGCTCTGTGCAAGCTCCTTTTGCTCTGTGGATCTAGAGGAGAGCACACCCAGCTGCTTACACCCTGGGGAAAAGTTCCTATCTTGTACCTGGGGGGAGGGAAACCTGCAGCCTCAGGAGGAGGCAGAAAAAATCATGTTCCAGCAGAAGCCTTGCTACAAGTACTGTACCTAGGCAGCTGGTGGGATGTGCTTTCTCAACAACTTTTTAATACTCAATGGTCAGAAAATACTTAAAAACGAGATTTCTCTGATAACTCTGACACTTGCATTGCAGCCAAGCAGAGTCCTCTGCTTGGAAAACATTGACTCAAAGTCTTCCTGGTGCTGCAGAGCAGGGGTCAGTGTCAGATGGGATCAGTAACTCCAGCCCAGGGCTGAGCAACCTGTTTGTAAAATTGTGATTTGGCCACTTCCCCGGGGAGGTGTTCACTTCCCTTTCCCACCAACCTCCCAGTACAAAGGACTAAGGGCAGGGCAGACAGGGAAAACCCAGTGAGGGTGAGACAGTGCTGAGCAAAATGCAAACCCAACCCTGCTGTGCCCAATGTGTATCTGCTGCTTCTCCTGGGAAATTACAGCCCAGGAGCCCCCAGTGCATTCAATCCCACTTTGGTGGGAGGTTGGCAACAGCTTTAGGGTGGGCACGAGGTGTCCAAAAATGTCTGTGGCTAAGCAGGTAGGAGCTCAGGAGAACACAACTTCCACATCCCAAAACATCACCTTTTATTTTGACTTGTAAATCATGCAAATATTTGTTCTTCAAAAGGTCTATAGATAATCCTTATCTGCTGTTCACATCATGTGTGGCCATCACCCCAAGCAGAGGGGAGAGAAAAAGAAAACTACTTAGGTGAAAGAAAGTGCTTGGTGCTGGCAAAGACTTTCAGTAGTCGTAGAATATATTTTGTGCTGTGATTGCTTTTTTTAATAACCAGCTATGGTGATGAGCTCCCCCACTTTCTGCTTAAGGATAGCCACCAGTGGTGGATGGTTTTGGACTCTGGGAAGACAGATAACAGCAATAGCTAGGGGCCATTAGTCTTGCTCAATAGCTGAGGGCTGCTTGAGCATGTGCCAACCAAAATATAGCTGGTATGTAAATATGACCGTAAGTTAGTCATCTTACTCCATAAACAGTAGGCAGCCCAATGCCTGTTGAGCTCTCCTGCATCACAACAGGCTGCAGGACTAGAGCTGCCCTTGATTTGGAGCACCTACTCCTCAAGGCTGAGAGAATCCTTGTCATATCAGATGAAGTGAATTAGGAATAAGTGTGCTGAAACTTTGAAATCTTAGCTAAGTGATGCAAAAAATTGGTTGGGCACTTACAGTCCTTCAGATATAAACCATTGACCAAGTCTGTCTGTGTCTATGTCTGGATACAGCTGCACAAAGACTCCCCTGAGAAATGAGTTTACAATGCAAGGAGTCCTTCTTGAATCTTGTGTCTCAACAGGAGAGTCTCCCTGACGCCTGTGGCTGACCTGTCCTCTCTGCAGTAAGTAATCAAGCATATCTTGCCATATTGCTACTTCTCTCTTACAGGTGAAGTGTGTCACTCCATCGGTGACACAAACCTCAGAAAGCATCATAAGGCAAAGCCAGAGGGGAGAGAGAGCCAGTGGATTTCTTTAGGCCAGTATCTCTCTCTTGTCTTTGCAGCCAAACCTGCAGGTGCAGGTAAGCCCAAATCCAACCTTCTCTGCTACCAAGGCAGAGAAGGGGAACAGCTTCCACTGCCACCTTAAATGCTGATCTTCCATCTTAAGTAGTGAAACCTTTCAGAGGGAAGTGGTCGATCTCAAGATGTTGTTTGGAATCATTTTCATGGAAGTGTCCAAATAGATCTTACGTCTCAGTGCTGAAGATGGCATTTCTTAGAAAAATAAACAAAATGCTGTTATCACAAACCACATTTTGTTGATGATGGTACTGAAGTGGATGAAGTTCAACTGTATTTCTCTTGCTCCCTGCACACCCACGTGTGCCCACAGCAGATGGAAACAAGTCCAGCAGTAACTCGTGGAGCCATGGGCAAAGCTGGGGGGAAATCTAGGACTCAGGCCCTCACGCTAAAGCAATTCACCTGGATTGTTTCTCATAAAAGGGCATGTTTTCATCAGCTGCTTGGTAATTAAATCAGTCGGCATGCTGTTTTGGCTGATGTTAAATTGAATGTAGAATCACTGCTGCAGTTGCCTGCTCCACTACCAAGGTCCATTATGTCCAGTCTGCTTCTACCAAGGCTGAGCAACCTGACTCTTGGATTTATCAAAGCCAGAATTTCTGGTATGTATAGTTGTTTGTGACACCAAGTTAGACACACAGGACAGAGCTCAAGGTCAACCATCAGGCAGGGCTTACCTCGTCCTCCCCATGTCTCATGCTGTCCTTACGAGCTGCTTCTTCAATTCACAACCCATCTGAAAGACTCCCAGCCCTGAGGGGCTGCCTGTGAAACAGCACATACTGGAACTGAAAAGCAAGCAGACCTCTATCTGTATAAAAGATTTTTATCTTTATAATGTGTGTTATATATAGCTTGAGGACACATCTATGTATATATTCTCGAGAAGCAGAAGACATCTGTCTCTTACACTGGGACACAGAGGCATGTGGGGACCGGCCTGGAGCTGCTCTGTTCTTGTGAAAAGACCAGAGTTTCCATTTCTGTGTCTGCCTGGCTGCCCAGTGCCTGCTTTGCTATGCTTGTATACACCAAAACCTTGGAGGCTGTGCCCACTCCAGCAGCTCCCTGTGCTGACTGGGGAAGGGACAGGAGCAGCCTGTTTTCCCTGTCACCTCCTCCCACGCAGAGCTGCCTGGGAGCAGTGTGACCACCACCACCAGCAGCTTGTGCTGTAACAGGGATGATGGAAAACACCAGCCATGGTGACTTCAGTTTTCAACTGCTTTTATTGCTATGGGAAACGTGCTCTCATGCTCTCGGTATCTTGCAGGTCTGAGCCTGTGTTGTGGCTCCTAGGGTCAGGGTGTTAAGGGTCGCTTAAGATAAATGAGGTGCAGCCACTTGTAACAATTTTTCTCTTGTTCCCTTATCAGGTCAGTGATGGATGACTACAGCCAGGTTCACTCATACCAGTTCCCATGTTGTCTGTGGGATTCATTGCAATATTGATTATCAGTTTTGGTTTGTTAGAAGTGGCCACTACTGCAGAACTTGGATGGGACTGGTGACACCCACTCTGCAGCTCCTCAACACCAGCAGTGCCAGTGCTGCAGTCATAGAGTTCTGGCACATAGCAAGACAGATATGCGAGTACTGCATGAGCTGGAAATGTCCTCGTACATATATCTCCCCTGCAGTGTCTTGGGTTCCTTGCCCCAGGGAGATAACCAGCAGTATCTGACTGTGCCCAGACACAGGGCTGCTCTGAATGTGGGTGCACCAGCCATAGGGTGGGAACCTGCCAACACCCAGAAGCTTTAAGGTGGAAGGGCCCCAAGCTGTACCACAGCTGTCCACTCCATGACAGTTTTGCATGCAAGAATCTTTGCAGTCCCTGTTTTTGCAGTCTTCTGCCGTGTTTTACCTTCTGAAGCAGGCAGAAAACTGTCCATGTACTACTGTTAATGTAGTTGTTTTTACACTCTGGCACTGGCACTTCTGTGGTTGCTGGCTGGTTCCCCAGACACCCCATGGCAGATGGTGTTCCTGGGCCCAGACTCGGAGATATCCATCGACTCAGGAACACAGCACCTATCACAGCTAATCCTGGTCTGATGTTGGCCAATTGCCCCCCACTCCAAACCCACGACCTCCAGGGGTGGGTGGCACCCTGGTGAAGGATGGCCCAACTGATGGTGTTTGCAATTAACACTCTGGCTGCCTGGCAGCCTCTGCAGCCCTCACAGCCCCATGCCCTTCTCAGCTGCTGCCTGAAGAAGAAAGTGATGCCATTTCTTTCATGAGCTCAATTCACAGGTAGCCCTGCTGTGGCAATGCTGCCACTATCAGTTCTTGAGTGGGATTTTGTGTTCTCCCAATGCAGGGACACTGTGGCTTTCCTGGGGATGAAAGAAGGGACACAGAAACTACCATCACCTTCTCTGGTGCATCTTATGCTGTGTGCAGAAAAAGACTGTCTTTTCATGACACTGCAGAGCCTAGTGCCTATGACTGCATTGCTCTGTAACACCAACCCCACCACTGTGTGAGGAATGGAAGGCTCATCCATCACTAAGATGGTGTGTGTACTTGCATACTAAATTCCACACTTGCATTCATCGGAGAAAAAAAGCTGTCAGAAGTGGGGATTCATGAGGGATTCACTCCCTTTCCATTTTTGCTGATTAATTTTATTCACAGAAAGGTAATTCTTGCAAAAAACAGGACTGCAGTTGTGCTCTGATGTTTAAGGGCGTAGGGATGATGAAACCCAGGGGAAGAGGGGATAGGCATGACGGTGTAGTTGGAAAACACAGCAAATTGCTTTTCAGCAAATGGCTCTGTCACTGCCTGCACACTCTTTCAGCCTGCACAACCTTAACACCAAAAAACAATAGCAGCCAAAGAAACTGATTGTAATGCAAAGGCCAATTCATAGCTGCGAAGGTAATAACAACGGACAGCTAATAAACATTTTGATTTTAGCTGATCACAAAGAAATGTGAAATAAACCCATGCTTGCTGAGAGCAAAGCATGTACACTGGCTTGTGCTGTTAACATGTCTGTGTTGATCGCTTTGGAAATGTGCATGAAATTTGGCCACAGGGCTTTCAGCAGCAGCCAGAGCATTCTTGTGCCAGCTGCCTATGGAGCACAGGGTACTGTCTTGTGTTCAGCATTCTTGTGCCCTGAAACATGTCCAACCTTTGACATTTTTTTGCCTCCTAGGCAATGGGGTGAATAACAAAACTTCACCTCCCCAGCAATGCTACTTAGTGAAACTATTTTACAGCTGATGCTTGGTACACCCATTCTCACCTTTGGGATGATGATGGCTTCTGTAAAAAGAAGGGAAGAGCACAGAAAGGAATGTGTCACTGTCTGCTTGGCTGACTTTCTAAAAATACCATGCTCAGCTCTCTCATCTGCACACTCAGCACAGCAGCATCTCCTGACTCTGCCAGGCTGATGGGATCTGATTTTCAAAGTTTTCCCATAAGATCACACTCCATCCATCCACTCCCCTCCCCAGTAATTCTTGAGCCCACTGCCCACCTAATTTTCAAAGAAGTAAATGTCTTACTTAGAAATTTTGTGAGAGCAGGTTATTAGGCTGGGGAAGAAAAAAAAAAAAAAAAAGGAAGAGAATGCAGCAGGAAGGAAACCCCGGGAAAAAAATTTGAATGGGAGTCAGTGGCTATTAGACACTGGAAAATCCACTCTTCACTTAAAGATTCTCTCTCATGTGGGTTCTCTAGTGTTTAATAAAGCATGAACTTCCATTTGAGTTTTTCCTCTGGTTAGATCATTCCCAGTGTGTGGCTTCTGTGATGTCTTTTAAGCAGCAGAGTTGTGCTGCAGACTTGGAGAGCTCAGTCTGCCAGTTCCCAGTCATAATTAATAAACAAAATTATTCATTTGTTTATTTATTAGTTCTGTGGCACATTGTTAGATGCAGCATTTCCCATAAAAACAGGCAAAAGGACAAGTGGCAAAGGCAGGTTGTGTACGGTGAGAGCCACCCCATCTGATAGTAGATGCTGCAACACCAGCTCAGGCTCCTTCCCCCACTATGACCAGCCTCCCATCTGTCTCTAGAGGCTCTCAGGTACGTCTGTGAACACCCCAGTTTTGGTTACATTCTTAGTGCTTGTGCTAAATGCTAAATTCAATTATCTTTATTTGGTTTATTTTAGTTTGCCTTTAAAAAATTAGTCCTGCATTAAAAAAATTAGTTCCACATTAAAAAATTCACCTCTTGGACAATTTTGAAACCACTGTATTTCAATGGCATTGACTTGGTGCTCATTCTATCAGCAAGGTATTGCAAACAAGCATTTCAGTCTCTAAGTACTTATAACTCTACTGTTTGCATCTAATTCTGTTTCTCCCTTTCAGGATCAGCTTTTCACAGAGGCTTGTGAATACTTAGTAACACAGTGAGATGCCTTGATGGCATCTCACAAATGCCTAAGCTGATTTGTCCAAGCCTTTTTCTGGTTTGTTTGGAGGGTTTTTTTGCAACTCTAGATAAAAGGTATGTGCTGGCTTGCCCTTATCTTCCATTTCACTGACACACTTAAGAAACTGAAATGGAACATTTTCCTTTATAAGCATCTGCAGCTTTGTCCCTATTTATTCCTGCTTAGCCAAGTGTCTCATTTCTATTGTTATTTTTTGTTCCCATTTATTTATTTGATATGAAACTAATGCCTGATGGACTGTAATTTCCAGGAGTGCTTTAAATTGATTTTAATACAAGACTGATTTCCATTGGCAGTGTTACATTTTTTGGAGGCTGAGCTGCAATCTCCTTCCTCTGTTGCCATGGCAAAGCCCCCATCAGCTCCGCCCCCTCCCCCCCCCGCTCCCCCCACTCTCACCAAATCCTTTTTCCCCAAGCCAGGTATGCTCCTTTTCCTTGGCATGAACGGAAACATTGTGAATCTGCTTTGGTCCACAACTTGTATAATTTTATTAGGCCAATGAATTTAGCTTTCTTGCTTCTGCAGGTTTTATTGGGTCTATAGTTAAAATGATGAGTGTAAGGGCAGGGAATGGCTCTCCTGGTCCTGACCAAGGATTCTCCAAGCTGCAATCTCTGATGTTTCCAAAACAGCTCCAGCACCTGCATCACACCTTGCCTTATCACCCCCCACAAACAGGCCCCTGGAACGAATGCCAAGGTGATGGAAACAATGGATGAATACACTGGTCATCTGTCAATCCAAACCCTCTGAAATGTTTGGAGAAGGGCTAACCATGCCATTTCCTCAAGTGACAATTACACTTCCATAAGTGTGTGCTAATGCCAGCAGTGACTGTCTGTATCAGAACTGCTCAGTGTACACACACACACACACACAGAAACAGAGGTACGGTTCTGGAAAATAAGCAAGGTTTGTCCTGGGACTGTCCCAAAGCCAAAACTGAGCCCTCCCCCCATAAACCATGACTAATCTTCCAAGCCTGAGCCTTGATCCTGAATTTGTATGAGATACCATATTCAGTTCCTGCTTTTGAAAACCCTTCTCATAAATCTACAAAGGAAGTAACAGATCAAACCAGGACAGGCTGGAGTAATTATATTACACCAATTGCATCATATTGTAGTATCTATTCTGTTTTCCCTTAAAAAAAAAAAGAATTTTAATGTTAAACAGAGAAGTCCGGCAAAGGAGACTTCCATGAACCTTGGTCAATTGCTCAGTAGACGGAACCAGAACAGCTTCTTCACCAAAAAGAAACTCTTTCACAGAGAACTATTTCAGAAACAAATCAAAAATCGTCTCAAATATGTTGTCATTGACAGCCATACACCTGCAAACAATACAAGGAGCCTAAGGGCAGAAGCAGCAACCAGCTGCTGCAATGGGAGCCACGAGAGTTCTGCCTTTCTGCCTCCCAGCAGTTTTTGCAACAGTGACTTAACTCCAGATTGGTTTTCCTTCCCTGTGGTTACTGCACTAAAAAAGAGAGAAAGAAAGGACAGCAGCACACATGAACCTCTTTAGGGAAAAAAGGCCAACTTCATTGAATGGACAGCCTGTATTTAAAGCATATTACATAGAGCTAGGACAGGACAGTAGCTCATTGGACAATTGGGAAAAACATCCATGGGACCGTACCTCAGGGTGTGTCCCACGGGAAAAACACCAGGTGTTAATCTTTATTATGAATTCCATTCTGTTTTTCACCATATTATCACCTTGGGAGACTTCCTCCCTAACTGAAGCCATAGTTAGCTTATCAGCCTGGGAATGGACCTGAGAGTCAGGAGAAATTCAGGCCTGAAAAAGAATTTTCAAGCTGTAATTCCCTAGCTCTCTAAATGTGTGTGTCCACACTTCCCTTTCTTTCTTTTCCTTTCCTTTCTCTCTTCTCTATACAACGCCAGCAATTTAAAAGTTCAAACTTCACCAGCAGTCAAGTTTGAGAGGCAGAAGTTTGAGATGGCTGGGAAGAGGACAGAGAGCTCCCAGAGCCAAGTCCTGCCCCAGGTCACTGCTCCTCCACAGGGGCTGAATGGGAGGGACAGAGGAAGTGTGACTTTCTTCCTGCATGTGACAGGAGAGGCAAAAACCAGCGTGTGGCTTTTAGTCCTCCTACACCGTTGAGCATAAATTTCATGTCTGCAGGGGGCTTGGAAAAGAGGCTTAAAAGCCCAGGGATTGTGTACATTTTTTGCATCTTACAGACTCCAAAAACAGCCCTGAGACAGACCTAGGCACTACTCAGGGTCTCTTGAGGTGAGGTCCTGGAGGAAGGAGCTCATGATCTGATCTTCTCAAATTTTGCAGTTATGTAAGGTTTGAATGAATCCAGCTGTAGAGAGTCCCAGTTCTGAAGCTCAATTTCTTATCAAAATTTTATAAACCAGAGAGAGGGAAACATAGATCTTTAAAATAGAAACCAGAAGAATATAAATCCAAGTTGGACAACAGTGTGTGGAGTTTGTTCCTGTCATGTCTCTGTTCACATAAGAATTAGTTAACTAACATTGAAACTCCTTCTGGTATTAGGCTATTTAGATTATGCTGATGCCTTGTTACTCTCCCAGAAATCTCCTCATCCAATTTCAACTACACCTGACAGCAGTAAAGATCCCCAAAACACTCTGCTTTGGCAAAACTCATGGAACACTGGGAGTCAAGAAGAAAGAACTCTTGGTTCTGCATGGAGAAACGCTGGGGCAAGGATTCACTCATTGTTCATGACTGGAGTGCTGAATAAGGAAATCAGCCTCAAACCCCCATCTCAGCCCCCAGGAATCCCAACTCTGCTGCTGCCATGGTTTGTTTCCTTCCCTTGCAGGCAGCGTGAAATCGAAGTGTTTCTCAGACACTATAGTGGTCTGAACTGTGAGAGAAGCAGTCTTGTTTACAGCTCACTCTTCCATGCAGATTTCTTACTGGCCACCAGAAAAAATGCTAATGACAACATTTTAACTCTCTAGGTTTAAACTGGGATTGAACCAGCCTGAATAAATTTAGTTTTATAATTTCAGATCACAGTCACAATATTAAAAAAATAATTTAGTTGTGATTTTTATCTCAACTCTATCAGCAAAACAACACCTTCCAGTAAGGTAGGTTCTGCTATACTTTGGATTTAGTGATACTGAGCAGATTGTATTTATTGACAAACCTGCTGCTAAAGTGTTTGCATTCCCAGAGCTGTAGGTACAGTCAGCCCACAGCACATTCACTACTCGTTGCTAAAATACTCATTTCCCTGGAAAACCATCTGTGTCATTCAGTCATGGCAGAAGCACAGAACTATCCATTCTCTCCATTGCCACTATCCCCAAGCACTATTCATATGCATCCAAGCCTGGACCACATTTCCTGTTTGAAGCCTTCATTACTTATAGTAAACATAGGGCAGCAAAATGAGTGAGATGCAAATTGTACATATAATTTCCACTTTTCACCTTTACTAAAATGAACTAAAGCATAGGTACAGGAGAGTGGCCAAGAGCAAGGCTTTTTGCATTAGCCTGAGCAGACATCAGGGTCTCAATTCAGGGCAGTTTCCTCCTCCAAGTAACAAGGGACAGGACAAGAGGAAATAGCCTCAAGTTGTGTCAGGGGAGGTTTAGGTTTGATATTAGGAAAAATTTCTTCACCAGAAAGATTGTCAAGCATTGGAACAGGTTGCCCAGGGCAGTGGTGGAGGCACCATTCCTGGAGATATTTAAAAGCTGTGTAGAGGTGGTTTAGAGGTGGCTGCGGCAATACTGGGTTAATGGCTGGACTTAATGATCTTAAAGGTCATTTCCAACTTAAATTATCCTATGATTCTACCTGCAGCCATCCAGGGAGTGCACAGGATGGCCTGAACCCAGAGCAAGTCAAAGTACTGACTGAAGAGGAACATTTGAACTCAGATTTGGGCCTGACCAGCACATCAAGTAAAGACAGGGCCATGGCTATGGGAAACATTAAACTCAGGCACTTTTATGTGGAATTTAAGCTTTCTAAAACAGAATAAAATAAGTGAGTCCCTATGGACACACACATTTAGCGAGCTAAGGAATTACAGCTTGAAAATTCTTTTTCAGGCCTGAATTTCTCCTGACTCTCAGGTCCATTCCCAGTCTGATAAGCTAACTATGGCTTCAGTTAGGGAGGAAGTCTCCCAAGGTGATAATATGGTGAAAAACAGAATGGAATTCATAATAAAGATTAACACCTGGTGTTTTTCCCGTGGGACACACCCTGAGGTACGGTCCCATGGATGTTTTTCCCAATTGTCCAATGAGCTACTGTCCTGTCCTAGCTCTATGTAATATGCTTTAAATACAGGCTGTCCATTCAATGAAGTTGGCCTTTTTTCCCTAAAGAGGTTCATGTGTGCTGCTGTCCTTTCTTTCTCTCTCTCTCTTTTTTAGTGCAGTAACCACAAGTCCCTGCTGGGGGGAGGTAGTACAGAATAGCTGATGTGCTTCAGCTCACACTCTCCCTTATTACAAAAGAGCTTCCGTGTTTAGATAGGCCCAAGGACATGTAGACGTTTGTAATGTGTATTTAATGTTTCCATTTCTTCTTTTCTTACTGTTTTGATGTTCCCTCAGGCTTTGAAGATTCAAGATCACTTTTTTTTTCCAGAAACTACAAGACTTAAAACAAAAATAAGGCAGCTGGAAATTGCCTGCTGCCAGTCAGACTAAAGAGGTTGTAACTTTTCTCAGCACAGGAAATGTTCAATAATTTAATATCAATGACCATATATTAATGCATTTATGCCCTTAGGTCTATAGAAATCCTTAATTCAGAACATTACACACCCTGGTTAATAGGACCAGTAATATTTGTTCAGTGTTATTGTGCTTTTCAATGGTATCAAAATAGATATGTCTGCTGCTGACCCTACTTGCCTTTGTTGTTCTCTTTACACTTTATTGAGTCTGGCTGGAATGGACTTGATCTTCATCAGAGCAGCCCTCATAGGGTTGTGCTGTGTACTGGTATTCCATTTTAATTTTCTCCTATCCCTCCAGCTGAGGAGGAAGAGTGATACAGCTGCTGGGTGGGCATCTGGTGTGCAGCCAATATAACACACCACAGCCCATTTTGGTGCCCAACATGGGCCCAAGACAAGGGCAGCTTTATATGAAACATGCTGTAGTTGCAGCAGATTATAAATTACAAGGTTCTGTGTGGATCATGGAGTCTGTTCAGTCACTGAGTCCCTATTTTGCTAAGCTTAGGAACAAGTTCCATCCAACTGCACAGGTATCCTGGAATATATCATGGACTGGCCAGAAGGCAGAGAATTTGAAACGTTGCCTGAGGAAGCAGATTGTGCCCAAGAGGCACTACCATGTAATGAGTTATCAAAAGATGGAAAACATTATGCTTTATTTACTGATGGAACTTGTCATGTTGTAGGAAACCTTTGGAAGTGGAAAGCTGTTGGGTGGAGTCCCACATGATAATTCATTGAAGCCACTGAAGGAGAAGGTAAGCCAAGTCAATTTGCAGAATTGAAAGCTACCCTATTGAGCCCTTGAGACTCTTGAATGAGAAAAGTGGTCATACTCTCTCTCTACACTGACTCCTGGGTGGTAGGTCATGCACTGTGGGGGTGGCTACAGCAGTGGAAGAAGACAATGGGCAGCACAGGGTTAAACCCTCTAGGCTGCTGCATTGTGCCAGGACATGGCTGCATGGCCAGAAAACATCGCTCTGGAGATATGCCACGTGCATGATCACATGCCCAAAAGCCACATCATTGAAGAACATGGAAACTATGAAAAAGTGGACAAAACAGTCAAAATTAAAGTAGTTCAGGTGGACCTGGTCTAGGAGCATAAGCACGAGCTATTTATAGCTCACTAGGCCCATGAAACAATTAGGGAGAGACTGAACATACAGATGGGCTCATGATCGAGGAGAGAACCTGACCATGGAGGCCATCACACTGGTCATTCATGGATGTGAAACGTGCTGCAATCAAGCAAGTTAAATCCTCTTGTAAGAGAGGGTGATGGCTGGGTTTTGATATGGTAAGTCCTGGCAATGGACAATTCTGGATAGAGCCACGAAAATTCCAAGGTGAGTGCTACATACTCACCACAGTAGGAGCAACTATCAGGAATTAACTGGGCTGAAAAAGAGTGAGTTTCACAAGGAATTGAGTGACTGTTATGATGACACAAACCAAGCTGGTGTTGGTGCCCAAGAACTTAATATGCTGCTTCTCCTGTCCTGAGCACCCATCTTGAAAGACAGGCTCAAACTATAGCCTGTTCTCATGGACATTTGAAGGAATAGAGGAAACGCACAGAATGGGAGTGTCTGTTAAAGGACAGGGGATAGTAGTTAATGAGAATGTATAAACCTGTGTGCTGGGTATGAAGATGGTTTAAGTATGCAGCATTGTCCCTGTAAGGCTAGGGAGTGGGGAAAAAATACAGCAATACAGGCTTCATCCAGAAAGCAGAAGCAATTCATTGCAGGAGTAGGCACATTTTTATAAACTGGTTCACTGAACCAAGAATAGAATAAGTTCAGTGGTTTAAGGAAGGCAACACTTCTTGTAAACATGCTCTTACCAAAACATCACGTTCCTCGCACACTCCTCTTATCTACAACACTGGGTGCTAAACTTTGTTATTAATTATTTTCTTTCTGTTTTCCTTTGAGTAGCTTGGGAAAAATCAAACTGCTGTTGTTTTTGGCTCTCACCAGCATCCACACTGCATTAATTAGT